TTGTATAGTGGTTTCTAGGTCAAACTTGACACTGCCAGCTGGAACAACTAACATGGTTGTTCAGACGACTGGACCATCTGCGTCGCAGCTACAAGCGGCGTAAGTAAAGTTTTGCAACCATTAAGCTTTGTCTGCCTCTCTATTCACCAGCCCGCCCAACGAACGAGTAATTGTTGGATCACCTCGAGTCGGCTCTTGCTGTCCGAGACACTTAACATCGACTTTAATTCTTTATCTACTCAACAAATAAAAATCTTAGCTCTTGGCTGCTTCAGATTATTCAAGCTTTTACATTTCTCCTGTAGGAACTGAAATGACTGCCACAGTGTATTATCTGGTGGTATTAAACAAAAATTTTAACTGTATTGAGATAGTCAAGATTTTTCTTGTTATGATAGAAATGAAAGTAGCATGAAAGATTGCAGATAGATGATTAAAGCAGCACACCTAAGTGGGGTTCATGTTGCTGTGGGGTACTAGTAATGTTTTTATGGGAAAATACCAGACCTTTTATTACAAGTTAATTGTCTAGGCTGTCTGTAATGAGGATATTGAAGGATTTCATAATTTATTATTTCTACAGACGAAAAGTTTGAGTGCTGAATAAGCAGTTATGTAACTGCCTTGGGTATGTCAACTGCTAAAATTTTAGATTTTTTAAAAAGAATATGACACGAAGTAGCTTAAAATAAGTACAACTTCATTGTAACCTTTCAAATGGGAATAAATAGTTGTCTGTAGTGAGATGGTAGTCATTTGGAAGTATATTTTGGTTCTATGTTAGAAGTGTGTTTGCTAGTTAAGGTTAATTTTAACCAGAAAAGAAAGAATAAGATATTATGAATTGATATTCAAAGAGGACTAATAGACTTTGAAGCAGTAGCCTTTTTGTTCTGCACATCCGACTGAAAGTTGTGTTTATTTCAAAATGAAAGTAAATGTACTTTTACTCTAATCTCCACCTGAAAACAGTACACATTTACCAATCAGGAAAGGGCTATGAATTAACTTTTCAGTGCAAGAGCAAGTAACACAAAAACATCTATGTTTAAACTTATTTTTTAAAATTTGTTCAAGTGAAAACTAAGTACTAAGTTTCAATCATAGATAGACTTTGGTACTAAAAATCAGTAAAATGTATAGTTCAGAGATTTCTCTCTATATTATATCCTGATATAGCAGATCCCAAGTATATACCACTGCTATTGCTATTCCCATTTAAATCCAGGTTCTAAGACCGGGGTCGGCAGCCCCTTTCATGCATGCCGAGTGTGGCACATGAGGCCATTTTGCTTGGCATGCCACGGCCAGTCCTGGCTCCAGGAAACTGCTGCCAGCGATGGAGCCTGGGCTGCTTCGAGTGGGGCTTGTAGCGTCCCAGCTGCCTGCTGGGAACAGCCTGGGATCCCGGCTGGCATCAGCTCCCCAGAGCCGGGGCCGGCTGCAGCCAGGAGGCTCCAGACAGCTGTGCTGGGCTCCGGCACCAGCTCCACACCTGGGCTGGTTTGTAGCCAGCCCGGGCTCTGGGCAGCTGCAGCAGCAGCAGGCTGGCTACAAACAGCTGTGCTGGGCTCATCACCTCTGTGCCAGGAGCGGGGGAGAGACCAGGGTGCGCTGCCTCAGGCCCCGTCCCCAC